TGTGGGTCTCTCCTGAATAAATTCTGCTGCATACATGATCATGGCCTGCTTTTGGGTTAAAGCTCAGACAGGACTGATGTGCTTGAAGTCTTTTGGGTCTTCTCCATTTATTAGCTGTAGAATAATCCCTTTTAAAAGCCTTGACTTCTTGTCTGAGGTGAATTTTCACCTTGCCTTCATGCCTTAGAAAGGCAGTGAGACACCCCTGAGGTGGGATCTCGGTGTGAGGGCAGCATGGATACAAAGCTTCTTGCTGCAGTCTATCCACTTGTTCATTCTTGCCTTATAGTTCAAAAAGCTCATAATTGTTAGACATCCTCTGTTATTAAAACCTCCCGCTTGTGCAAGAGTTGTTTGAATTGCAGCAACAGGCTTTTTACTTTGCTTACTGCTGCTTCTTGACAGCTGATCTTGACAAGCCCTTCAGAATTAGTTGCCTTTTTAATTTTCTGGTTTTTCACACCCACACACACACCCACGCGCACACACACACCCCCTTCTTACATTACGCCAGTGTTTATTTGACCACACACTGGTTCAACATTTACAGTTACCAATTAGGATCAAAATATTGCTTTGACATTCGCCTGAAACTCAAGGTCTTTATTGCTAACACATCCAACGTAATGGAGTTTCTCTAATGCAGGGCACAATATTGCTCGTACTCTTACTTGTTAGGGATAAGTCCTGTGATTAATGATGTCCATAAACCTTGATTTGCTGACAGTGAATGGGTAAAACATAGCATCTCTGCACTATGAGTGTTTCTGGTTTATCATCTTTTATAAAGTCTTCCCTTGTCATCAGTTAGCATTGATGAACTAGTTGTGTTGGAGAAATGTACTAATTTTAGAAGGAAATAACATTAGGGCAAATTGAGCAAATGGCAAAGTTCCACCATTGGTAATCATTGGTAATGATCCCAGACTCAAAATTAGCTTTTCTTTCCTTTTTTTTTTTTTTTTTTTGACAGGAACTATCTCATTTACATAGGAGACATCTATGTCCAAGTCATTTCCTCTGCTTTCCTTCCCTGTGTTTAATCATTGCTTACACTCTTTTGTTCTGCTTCCTTTTCTCTTCCTTTTCTGTGTTAATATCCTGCATGTGCTTTTCTACTGCTATTCTGATTGATGGAATTAGGTGTTGGAATGGGCTGCCCAGGGCAGGGGGGGAGTCCCCGGGATCCCTGGAGGGGTTGAAGAGTCGGGCTGAGCCAGTGCTGAGGGATCTGGGGGAGTTGGGAACGGTCAGGGGGAGGTTCAGTTGGGCTGGAGGAGCTTCAAGGGCTTTTCCAGCCCAGATGAAAATAAAAGAAAGGAAGAAGAGAAGCTTAATTCTTTGTTTACCTGTTTAAATATAATTAGTGCTGAGGGTGAACATGGTAGAGTTTAACTATAGTAATACACCAAAGAAATATACTGATGGAGCAGTTCAAGTCTCTTTTCTATTTTCTCAGGCTGTTTGCAGATTTGGCCAGACAGCTTTTATAACCCCTCAGAACTGAGAGGATTAGAATATTTTATACTTCTAAAATTGAAATCTCCCAACTTAAGCCTGATTGAACTAAATGGTAAAACTCTCAGTAATCTTGTTAGGAACAGAATTAATTCAGGCCAGTGTTTTTACATGTCTCATCCTTCCTACTCAGTCCTTATACTACAAGCCATGATTTATGGGAGTTGTTCCTACTGGGAAGGTTTACTGTACCATCACTCCGGAAAACGCAGAGCAGCAGCTTGGTCTCGGTCTTGCAGACCCACAGTGAGACAGTCCTATAAGCTGTGCAATGTTTCTTCAATAGTGTTGTGTTTTGTGTGTGTATATAAGTCTGTGTTCTTAACCTCTGGAGTGCCTGTTGGAAGAAGAGCACTGCGTGATGCCCTTTTCCTCTCTGGTTCAGGGTCAGACACTTAGCTTTCTCCTGACCCTAAGCTAAGCTCACAACTTTGTACTTTGTCCTCACCATGTAGAAGTACCATACCCAGACCCTTGCTTGCCCTCGTTAGATATTTTTGTACCTCAATTAGATCTCCCATTCTGCCATTTCAAAGCTAAGTATTTTAAGCTGTTCATCATAAGACATATCTACCATTCCTCAGTGTTAGTCTTCCTGATCTCCTCTTGGATCTTACCCAAAATGTGCATGTCCTCCTTTAAACTTGGTGGCTCAGCTGCAGTACACACTGTTCCCAAAAAAGGCCTGGTGAGAGGAGGGTATTAAAGAGTGGTTTTATAATTTCTTTTGCCTTATGGACAGATTCACCTCCCTCCACCTTTGAGCATTTACTTAGTTTTCCTTCCAGCTGTTACACGTGGAGTGAAGACGTAGAAAGGGAAAGGACTTTGCTGAATGTTTTAATTCTTCATTTAATCTGCCTGAATATTGACTATGCTTTCGGAGAGTTCACCTCTGAAGGGCACACAAACACCAGCTATTTTTCTAGATTAATGCTCTTTATTTTGCAAGTGAAAGTCCAAGCCCAAAATATCTAATTTAAATCCAATTAAAAAGTACAATTCCAAATTGTTTTTCCCACACTTCTCTTTCTCCCCGTGTATCATTCAGTGCTGCCCTTAGCAATTAACAGATATTTTTAAGGCCATATATTTAGATTTTACAAAGACATACACATTCAAAAGAAACATGTTTCCATACCAGTTACAGTGTGGCAAAAAAATGTGTTAGACTGTGAAACATGGGAGAGAAGCACAAGTGTTTATTTCAAGAAGCCTAAAAGTGAAGGTGTCTTAGTAAAAGTGAGAATTTTCTCATGTTTTCTTGGGCAGCCTCAGCTGATTAAAAACTATTTAATAGCTGTCAGAGCAGTGAACAAGGTATGGAACTTCCTGACAAGCCCTAACACTGCATTACCCTATAGCCATTATAGCATAACCCTATAACCATTATAGCATAAACCCTGTGATGGGATTCTCCAAATTGTTCACCAAAGTATCTCTCTCCAAGCTGAATGTAAGATACAAGTATGTGGTATCATCTCATTTTGCTTATGGTGTTCGGCATAGTCTCTTCCACTTGTTTTGATCTTTTGGAAAATAGGAGAATTGCATCTATTTATGTAACTAAGAAGTAATCAGAATGAGTCTCGTATGAGCAAAAAAAAAATTGGCTTCTGAATTTGAAATGTTATAATTTTTATACTTAAGAAGTTCTTATTGGAAAATACAAAATCTGACCACTGGAGAGCATGCAAGAAATGAAAATGCATGTGAAAGATTCAGAGGAAGCTTTTTCAATGTTTTCATAGTGCTTTTCTCCCACCTTTTGTGGTGGGAGGCAGCCTGGGAAGGGAGGGGGCAGTTCAGAAGTCTAGCTCTTTCTTCAGTTCAGGGTTTTGACATGACTCCCTACCTTCTTCACAATTCCTTCTCCTCCAAAATGCTTTTACCAAAAGAAGTCTGTTTTCAGTAAAACAAACAGCCGAACAAAAAACCAAAAATGCAAAAGACATAAAGCATACAAGAATAAACTTCTTAAATTATTTCAAAATATTTTGGGTTAGGTCAGAAAAAACATTCGTGGTGGCATGCACTGCACTTCACTTGCATGGTGGGATTCTTCTGTCATGCACACCCACACTACAGGCAACCCTGTGCTCCCTGTACTGCTGGTGGAGAGAGAGTCTGGGGGGTGGATGGGTTCACCCTAGGGTGAAGGCCAGCCTTTGACTGGGTGACTCTTTCCCTAAACTAGCTGTGCGGAGCCAATCTCTACTGATTTTTAAGAAACAAGACCATTAGCTCATGTGGAAATGCCCACACTGCAGATACTTAAAATTAGGCAAGTTTGTCTTAAAACAGCTATGACAACAAAAAGTTATGTGCACACATTTCCACAAAACAGAACAAATAAACTCTTGCTATATTTTTTTGGAGATGTTTAAAGCTACTCCCCTTTTCTACTGCAGGAAGCAAAGAGGCCTTATTTTAGGGCCCTGTGCTGTTTCTTCTTAATTACACATGCTGATAACTGCTGCCAGTTAGGCTGGAAGGTGGATGTGGTCTGAGAGATTCTCCAGTCCTTGTAATAAGCCTGTTGACCAAGAAAACTAGCGGGGTCCTGGATGCCCTTTCTTTCGGGCAAAGCAGGCTGGCAGATTGTTTCCTGGCTGTCCCTGCACAGCCCAACTGGGAAGTGAACTTTCAGTATTGGCAGCACCAAATGTTCACAAGTCAGCTGCCAGGCTTCTGAAATCATGAAATCGGGTTAAAATGGAGAAGATTAAAAATAACAATCTGCAAGATTCTTTTTCGTTGACTTTTGAGCTAAGGGAAAGGATTGACTTGTGTTGTCAAATGTTTCTTCAGACGCAGATTTTTTAAATAACATGTGAGATTTCTACGCAAGTTTAGGTGGACTTTCCAAAAGACTGCAGGCATCATGAGTCTTGGAAATAATTTGTGAAAGTTTGGAAAAAATGACGATTGTCATACACATTGGCTTAAAAAAAAAAAATCTTCCCAAGCAGGGAAAAGAAGCAATATAGTGTGACTTAGACAAGTCATCAAATGACAAATCCTTTGCTAGCGTGGCCAACAAATCAGAGGAAGGACCCAGTGCCCACCACATTTAACAACTACTGTAGATGTGAAATTGAAGTTTGGAGGGTTTACTTCTTTGGCCCTGCAGTTTTCCACAAAAGTCTCCAGCTTTTTGCACTTGCGTCTCTGGGAATGAAATTTCCATCTTGCTCCACTCCACACATACGTATGTTGTTTATGAGCACAGGTGATTACTGGCCTTCCAATCTGGTTGGGGAGAGTGGTCTTGCTTTCAGCCAAGGACTTGTAGAGTCTATGGGAACTGAAATTAATTGTTTCTATTAGTAAGATGTCATGTGGTTCTTGGTATCCTTTTATTGTTTTTGGTGAATGTGTCATAATCACATTTCTGCGTTAAGAAAAAGGATGAGAACTCATGCTGATAGACTTAACCTAATAAATGATATCAAATATCAACTGCCTCATTTTTTTGCTAGAGGACTGCAGTTTAGCTGGCAGAATGGAGAGGAATTGGCAAATTGGACCGGCACCTTTAATTTCACGGATGACGGAGCGGTGAAGAGTGGCAGTGACACAGGCACCAGGTACCAACACCCGAGGGAATGACTACAGAGATATCTCTCTTTTTATATGAACCACAGATGTGAACACAGGCTGTATGAAAAATGAGGCTTGCAGTTTGCTTTGGCTGCTCCCCGTGGCACAGAAGACGCCAGGGATACTCAAGTGCTGTGCTGTTCTCCCCCTTGAAGGCCTTGGGGCCATTTTGATATATGCCGTAAGCATCCCTGCAGTACTCAGGAGGGTGACTTCTGTGTCCTGGTTTCTCCAGTTTCCATTCCCCCACCAATGCTATGTGTCAATATGTGGCAGTGTGGGAGAGTGGGACTCGGGCGGAGCATGTCCCAGCATAACAGTGTTGATGCACACAGAGCACGCTGGAGAATCTGGCCCGAGGCTTACTTTATAATAGAATATGTATTCTAAGAAAACATAGCTTAAACAAGAATCTTTCTACGGCCTGGCAGGGGAAAAGTGTTCTGTCAAGATAAGACTGGACTATTTCCTTTATTTACACTCATTTTAATATATGAGAAGCACTGACGTGCTGTTGCACTTTTACTTACGAATTTGTAGTGGGATCCTTTTGACTGGCACGCATCTGAAGGGACATGAAGAGCCACATGCATAGTCAGGAAACCAGCTGCAGTTGTGCCTAAAGACCTCCACAGCTATTGCAAGCCATCTGCATAAATCCAGATACAGACATAGGGCAAATATTTGGGTATCTTCCTGGAACCTCTGTTGTAGAGGTTAAAAATCCTGAGTCACGTATAGTATCAAGTTCAGTAAGTAGCAGAGAAATCTTAGAAAGACTGTAAGTTAAAAAAAAAATTATAAGAAGCTTACATTTAATACCTATATATAAATAAAACTCTCTCTGGATAAACTAAGTATTTTATTTAAAATATCATCATTTTGTTAACCATACACCTCTGCAACTGTGGAGCTGATATCATTTCAAAGGCAAGCAGAATGGAGTCTGAGCTGCCCCAGACCATCCAGTCCCACTGAAACACAGCAGTGCTGCAGTTCCCAGTAAGAGTCTTTGCTGTAGTGTGATTCTGTATGAGTGCTACCTGCCACTTGGCTGGTTTAAGTGGTTAATAAAAAGAACGAACTTAAACTGCAGTTTTTCACTCAGAGCAAGGGAAGAATGTACATATGTGTGTATGTGTGTGTGTATCTGTATCTACTTGTGTTGCTTTTTTTGTGTATGCATCTATAGTCTGTATGTGCAAAGTCTTCACTTTAGGCACTTGGCATATAAAAGAACTGAATATGGCACAAAGACTTCCTGAAGACATGAAAAAATTAATAAATATAGATTTCCCCCTCTGGGCATCCTTGACAGAGACAGTTGAACCATCACTGGTTGCAGGACAGGAACCAAAACCCCTGACTGCAAAATACATGCGAGTTGTGAGGCACCGAATGACAGTACTATTCTCAATCTCTGTAGCCTCTTCAGGGGCAAAGAGGTTCAGGATGTGTTTTTTATACAAAGGGGCGCAAACTGCACAAGTTAGGTATAAATTTCGAAGGTTATAATATCAATAAAATATGCAAATTTCGAAGTCTGTGTTGTGTTAATGGCTGTGGAGATGAAAGATGAGGATTTTGAGTTAGGGATAAGTCTAGCTGCAACATATGTGGCACATAAGTGTATTATAGATATTGTTTATCCATTTGTCTACTGTCCGAAAGCTGAGAATATAGCAAAATAGAAATGTATAAATGTGGAGGTGAGACTGTGTGGTGAATAACTGCAGAGCTATGTCATAAATTGTTTACTATTTACCTTTGATCACCTTTCTTACTGTGTTATCGCTAGACATCTCCTGAGAGTCTTAATCTGACACCCAACTTCAGGCTGTTGATATAAACTGAAAACAAGCCTTCCTCTAATGAATAATTCTTTCTACCAAATGGAAAACTTGCAGACTACATTTTACCAGCCTGATTTTACTTGTATGTATTTACAGGTCTCCAGAGAGATGTCTGAAGTGCACAAAATTAATTATATGTCAGCATATGCACAGTAAATACCTTTCACTACATGGCTCTGCAGTTTATTATGTGTTATCACCTCCTTGTAAAAGGTTTGGTGTTTAAAGATATTAACTAAAATAGATATTAATAGACTTTTCATTAGCTTACATCATTTATATATGTATATAGACACATGTTTATTCATACATATATGGTATCAACCCATGTATATTCTATAACTACTCTTTACCTTTTCATTATGTAACTTAATACATGGTATAGATACATATAATACATGACAACTCATTCTGCAGGAGTGATGGAATGAAGGACTTTCAAAGCAAAGGCACCCTGAGAGAGTAAGCGCGTTAGAATTGCAACACAGCCATCCTTCATGAGAGTAGTGGCCATATCAAAACCAATGAACAGTGAGAGTAAAATGTTGAATAAAAATTATTAAGTAGGACAGAGACGAAGAATGTCATGTTATCTAATTTCAACAGATTTTTTTCAGATTTTAACTAACGTATTAAGTTGAAGTGTGGCTTGCAATTGGTATGTTTTTCTACTGTCATGGGGAGTTCGTTGCACAGTTTCGAAGAATGAGCCCTATTCTGATTGCAGAAAGCTCCACTGTGCCAGAGCAACCAAACTAACCAAGACTTTTCATCCCAGTGCATAAGACACTTCTTCAGAGTGTATAGAACCATTCCATGGAGATCAGAGTTAATATGAGCTCAGCTCAGTATATGATACAACTGAGAATGTGGTCATGCTTGTGGCATCTAATATTGCTGTGAGTAGATGCCTGACAGAGATCTCTATTTGCTGGGGCTTTTGTGTGGCACCAAAAGATTCATTTTGATGCATATTGCACTGTTGCAGGTCTTCTAGGTAGCAAAGAAGTTGTGAATATTTGGAAGGAGTAAAGTTGAAACACTCAACAACTCCCCAAAGCCATAGGGATGTGTGCTTTCAACCAAAGGAGGACAAGATGGGCTGCAGGCTCTTTGAAACACCCACACAGATGCTTTGTCAACCAACTGTCGAATACTGGCTTATTTTTGGTTCTTACGTATCAGCCATTGCTCAGATTTCTACCTTTTGCTTTTTATCTTGTGCTACGTATTATAAATCTTACAACATCCTTGTGGGGAACCAGGTAGAGGGCTCTCTATCTGATGCTGGTTCTGAGAACTAATATGTGCAACTACGTCCTAGAATCCTGATTCCTCTGTTCTCCTTTAATATTTTGCAACTTACTGGGATTGTGAGTCTTCATGCTTAAAGCATTTTTTTGTTGCCAAGAATCTGCCTTAAAGATTTGATCTATCTGCCGTATCGGTTGGGTTATGGTGTTCTCTGCCACCTTCAGTCCATCTCGGTGTAGGACTTAGGTGGTGAGACCACAGAAATCTTTGATGGGTGGGAGGAGATGTGAGCTTTATACTTTTGGGTCTGTCAATTTGTACAATGAATTCTCCAGTATGACAAGTCTGGAGATTTTTCCTCAGTTGATACAAAATAGACAGTAGAATCAATTGGATTAATCAAATACACATTTTACAAGAATGAGTGTAAAGGACTTGAGCCATCAGACCTCATTGGCCAGGACAGCAGGTGAGGATGTTCCTTAAGTCATAGCGCTGAACTTCCCAAACAAAGATACCGAAATCTTAAGAACCACAAACACCCCCCCACCCCCCCCAGTTGCTTGCAACGATAAACTAAAATGTGTTTTAGAGATGCTACTGATTTATAAGTGTTGACATGTGTTTTGTTATGCCCCCTGGGTGGTCATGTGGATAAGAACATCTTGAGAGTGGTGGGAATGGGCTTGATTAAAACAAGTCAAACAGCAGTTTATTAAAAATATGAGAGTTCTGAAATTACATTGGTAAAATAGGACTTCCTGCAGCATACCCCACTGCTACTTATCAGGAGACAGTGTCGTTTTGACGCAATGACTGTGAAAAAAAAGAAACACCAAAGTGTCCCTAAAACTAGAATTCAATACACTCTTCAATAAATCCTTCTAACAGTGACACATTGTGCTGTGGGAAAACCTCTGAATGAAGTATGTGTGAGGGAAGACCCAGGAAGCACAGGGGGTAGTGGTGGTTCAGAGCACGGTCTGCAAGGTGGGCTTATCCCAGGTGGGTGAACAAACTGCAGGCGGTAGCCTGGACTTTGCTATGTCATTTAGGGCTGTTTCTGCTTTAGCTCCTGCTGTTAGACCCACAGCTGTGCAGCAGAGTGTATTAGGTGGTATATTCGACTGAAATTGCAGAGGGACTTGGGTCCCCAATAGGTGCACAGATGAGAAGGGAACAATGTGTCATTGGCAGAAGTGGATATTTGGTTAATTCACACTGCTAATGTGGTACGGGGCAGCAGAACCAGTCACTCCTAAATGATCTGAGTGTTGAGACATGAAGACAGGAGATCAAAATCAGAACGGCAGTGAGCAGTCAGTGCCAGTCTGCCAGGAGCTTTCACAGCCATGATGCAAAACATATCATCTTAACTGCACAGGTGTGTAAACTATCTGTGAGGTCAAGGGACCAAGTCAAACAAGGAATACAGAAAAGGAGCACCTCTGAGATATGACAGCTGGATTATTTTTCTAAGGTTACTTGGGAGGTACATGGAGCTATCAATGAACTGCTTTTACACGACAGAAATATAAAACCCACTCCTCTTTTGTGAAAGATCAAACTTATGGATTTAGGGCTGGTTCATGGAAGCACTTTTTTTTTTTTTTAAAGTCAAAATCTTTAATTTGGAAGATAGGCAGGGTGTCTTGGGAAACTGTCCTTGCCTGGGTGGATGGACATTTCTGATGCTGTCTACTATCAAAAGCCAGAAAGTCGTGTGACACTGTAAGGAGACAAATTTAGCCAAACATTTCAAAATATTCTAGCTGGATGATCAGGAGATTCATGAGTTAATAGCTTTTAACCTCAGCTACATGTGTCTCTTGGGAAGCATGCATCCCTGTAAAAGAATTCCAGTTCCTGACTTTGGTTTG